ATAATCAATACCCAGATGCCCGGCTAGTGTGGCTCAGTGGTTGAACATCGACCTATGAACCAGGAGGTCACAGTTCGATTCTGGGTCAGGGCCCAGGCCCAGGTTGTGGGCTTGATCCTCAGTGTGGGGTGTGCGGGAGGCAGCCGATCAATGACCTCTCTCATCATTGATGTTTCTCTCTCTCTCCCTCTCCCTCCCTCTGTTATCATGTCCCAATGGGCCAACCAACAGTATATATTTAAAAAAAATACAGACGGACAAGGAGTCAGATATAGACAGACAAAACAGACAGTTACACAGATGGAGAACTAGTCAGAGTGATAGCAAAATCAATAGACAGAAAAATATTTCATAGAAGCAATTAGACAGAGCCCCCAGGACCGGCTATGACCCCTCCAGCTGGCAGAAAACCATCACTTACCCAGGACCCTCCTCACCCTCCCCTCCCCGCCCCCATTCTGTCTGCTTCCCCTCATTGTGAGGTCCCGGCCAGAGGGGACTGGAGGCCCCACTAAAAAGGCCTCCGAGGTCCTCCTCCAGGGCCCTGTAAGCCCCCTCAGGTGCCCTGGGTCCTTCCTGATCGTTAACATCCCCCTAGGGTTCTGCTCTGTTGACGAGGACCCTGAGCCAATCCCAGGACAGCCCTGGGGTCAAGTCCTTGGATCTCCCCCTCCCCTTTCCCGCCCCCCCCCCCCCCCAGGGCCCTACGCACTGTCCGGGCCTTCCCTGTGGCCCAGGTCCTGCTGTAACCCTCAGCCGTCTCCAGGCCCTGCGTTACCAACACTGGGTGTCCTAGGACCTGCTGCCTGTCCCATCAGCCATCACTCCACCTCCCATCAGACCTCGCAGACCTACTTAACACCGCATCCTCCGAGTCCTCTGGTTCCTGATGAAATGTCCTCAGACCCTGAGCGCTCAGAGGACCCCCTGGGCCCTATTACAATGGACGCAGCCTTCCCTTATGTAGCCTTGGAGTCACCAAATGGACTCGGGGTGTCCCCTCTGAGCACTGCCTGGAACCTAGGAGATTGCCTCTTAGACCTATCATGAAGTCTTTTACTAAAATAAAAAAGAAAAAAAAGAAAAACATCGATTTGTTGTCCCACTTTCATTGGTTGCATGAGGTCTTTTATTAAAAAAAAACAAAAAACCTGGGGGGAGGAAGAGAGAGAGAAAAAGAGAAACATTGTTGTTCCACTCTTATTTTTTTTAATATATTTTATTGATTCTTTACAGAGAGGAAGAGAGAGGGATAGAGTTAGAAACATTGATGAGAATCATCAATCAGCTGCCTCTTGCACACCCCCTACTGGGGATGTGCCCGCAACCAAGGCACATGCCCTTGACCGGAATCGAACCTGGGACCTTCCAGTCCGCAGGCTGACGCTCTATCCACTGAGCCACACCGGTTTTGGCTGTTGTTCCCCTCTTTCATCGGTTGCTTCTTGTGTGTGCCCTGATCGGGGATCAAACCGGAAACCGTGGTGCATCAGGACGATGCTCTCACCAGCTGAGCTACCAGCCAGAACCCCACCATGAAGACTTTGGGTCCTGGTAACAGTCCAGGGGCCACACCAGTAGTGCCGATGGCTGCCTAACCCGGAGCCAGAGTGGCTTAAAGCAGCCCAGCTGTGCTGTCAGCTCTGGAGACCGGAGTCCAGCACGGCCCCGGGTCCTGTAAGCATGTCCCGCGGGCCAATCACAGGCAACAAAGCCACGGCAGGACCAGTTCCTGACCTGCGGCCCCCGTTCCGGTCTCAGGGCCGCCTGGCTGGCAGCTCAGGTGGTTAGAGCAGCTGTTCCACCGAACCGAACAGCTGTCGGCCGCCGTGGCGGGGCCTGTGTGACACCCATGAGCCAGACGGCCGGGGCAGGCTGCACAGCGGGTGACGGCCTCGCTCAGGAGGGCTCACCGCTCCCGAGCCCCCCACCGGCCCCGTGTGTTTGTCAGTGAGTGAAGGCACGAGCGACGGCCTTCTGGTCTGATATGCCCCTAAAGCTCCTCTAGAATGTTCCAGCAGGATCTATCCCCCTGTCATAACAGGGATACAGCTGGGCCCTCTATGGTCAGTCCCCAGTTTCCCCATGGCCGGCTGAGGGCAGCACTAAAATACACCTCACAGACACACACACCACACACTCACACACACCACCCACACCACACCACCCACCCACACACCCACACACACTCACACACCCCACACACACCACACCACCCACACTCACACCACACACAATCACACACCACACACACACCACCCACACACACACACTTACACACTACACACACACACACAACAGACACATACACACATCCCCACACCACACTCACCCACACACCAGACACACACCAGACACACACACACCACACCACTCACACACACACACCACCCACACACACACTTACACACTACACACACACACACACAGACACATACACACACATCCCCACACCACACTCACCCACACACCAGACACACACACACCACACACACACCCCCCCCCACCACACAGACAGACACACACCCCCCCCCCACCACACAGACACACACACACACACACACACACACACACACACGCCACTGCACCCGACTGCCTCACAGCCCTCGGACGGGCCAGTGCCCGCAGGTGCCCACTCCCCTGAACCCCGGGCCATAAGGTGCCGGCCCGGCAGCTCCTGTTACGGGACCCGGCTCCCGGCACACCCGCAGCGGCCGGGCTCCCGGCTCCCGGCTCCCGGCTCCCGCCACGGGGCTGCAGTGAGGCCGGGCGGCGGGCAGGGCTCCGGGGCGCCAGCCCTCAGGACACACCCACCTGCCCTTCAGCCAAGGGCCCGACACCTAACTTCCCTGTGACTGGCCTATCAGAGGTATGCACCAGAACATTCCAGAAGCCTGCGGAAACAAACTCAGAACCCCATGACGGGCCCGGGATTCCACACCACGCAGCACCGGACCGGCCCACGGAACACAGGGACCAGGGCGGCTCACCAAGGACCCCCGCCCACCGCCTTCTCTAACTCACTTCCCCATATCACTTCCGGAACCAGCTCCACCCAGTAGCTCACGTGACCGCAGCTCGCCCTCCCGGGGGGCAGGGCCCCATGGGCCCATTTCACAGACCGGGAGACTGAGGTCACCCGCCCAAGACCGCGGAGCTGCGAGCAGCAGGCGGGGCTTCAGAGCCTGCGGCCTCAATGTTTGTTTGGAGGCTTCTGCCCCGGCGCTGCTTCCTGTTATTGTCTGATCAAACCCACCCTGGGAAGGTGGGGGTTCAGCCGCATGGAGCAGGCACACCCCACTCCCCGCCTGCCCTCGGAGCTGGGCAGATAAACAGGCAGCACAGTGCAGAGCTGGTACAGTAAATCCGGGAATAGCTGAGAAACAGGACTTACCTGTCCTGTCAACAAAGCAGGGGGGGGGGGCCGGAGGTTTGGCCGAGCGGAAAGGTTAGGAAGCTTTGGAGACCACGGAGTGGGGCGGGGGCCAGGCGGACCTGGGCATGTGCGGGTACAGGACAGCCAGGGCAGGGCTCGGGGGCAGGCCTGCCAGAGGGAGGGGAGGGGAGGGCACAGGCACCCACGCCGCCCGCTCCTCCCGCCAAAGAGAACTGTGGCGCCCACAGGCCCGCCAGAGGGGTCCCCCTGGCAGACCAGGCCAGCCCACCCGGGACGAGGCAGCCTGACATGTTGGGGTGCCAGGAGACGCCCCAACAACTGCTGGGAGGAAACCGGGGAGCCGGGCTGTTGTTGTAAACACGGAGGCCCCACCCTGAGCGGAAGCACCTGCAGGGGGTCCAGGCCCCTCCCTCAGGGTCCGCAGCCCTCCAGGGGCGGGGCGGGCGGGCGTGCCCCCCTGACCTGCCCCTGCCCCTTCCTGTGCTTTGATGTGGCCCCACTTCCTCCGGCAGATCCCCGCCCTTCGGCGCCGCTAAAAGCCGGGCTGCAGCTGATCGGAGCGGCTCTGGACCCGCAGCTCCTCTCCTCCAGGCCCCGTCTCCCAACCCTGTACCATGGCGTGCGGCCCCTGGTACAGGCATGGGAGGCAGGGCCTGGGGGCCCAGCAGCTCCCGCCTGAGCGCGAAGCCACTCCAGCCAGCCCTCCTCCAGCCTCCTCGGGTGAGGATCTCCCCACCTGTCCTCCCTTCTCTGACTGTCCCTCTTCTGAGATCTGAGCCTGTGCCCACCGGTCTGGCCCTGTGGTGTCCAGCTGAGCCCTCTGTTATGTCTCCTTTCTTGGTGTCTCCCGCCCTTTCCCCCCTTTTTGCTTCTGACAACCAACAGCTCCCCCCTCCCGCTCTCCGGCTGTCAGCAATCATTCCGAGTTTGCATGACCACCCATTCCCCCCCTCCTGTTCTCTCTCCACCCAAGGCCCTGCCCGGCCTGTCCTCCCAGGCCCGCCTCCGGGGCTGCCCTCCAGCCGGGCCTTGCTAAGGATCTTTCCCTCAGACCGATGCCCTTACTGGGATTTCCAGGCAAAGGAAGTTTCCAGAATCTGAGACCTGGAGCTCAGGCACTGGGACGCCGAGCAAAGGACCTGCCCCTCAGAGGAGCTTGCTCATCTGCAGAGGGGCATGGCGCCCACTGGGGAGGGGGACTCGGGGGGGAGCCCCTGCCCTGCCCCCCCCCCCCGCTGTCAGAAGAGGAAAGCCAGGCTGAGGACAAGGCCCAGGCTGCGGTGCTTCCTCACCCGCCCCCCCACCGAGGCCAGAAAGCCCCCCCTTCACTTCCTCCCCAGAGGGGGGTGCGGGGGGCAGGGGAAAGAGGGGGTGAGGGCTGAAGCAGCAGCTCAGTGACAGGTAGAAGGTGGTAAGGACCAAAGGAGCCGGGAAGTGCAGCATCTTTAACACAGGCCATCTCTGCCCAGAGACAGGACGGGGGGTGGGAACGTGGTCCCCACCCCCACCTCAGGCCCGGAGGGTAAAAGCCCCATCCTTCTCATCAACCTGCCCCGTCCCCAGGGACATACCTCCCTCCGGTGAGGCCAGACACGGAGGCTGGGACAGAAAATAGCTTTATTGGCGGGGGCGGGAGGGCAGCTCAGAACTTCTGGAACTGCTTCTTGGTGCCGGCGGCCTTGGTGACCTTGAGCACGTTGAAGCGCACCGTCTTGCTCAGGGGCCGGCACTCGCCCACGGTGACAATGTCGCCGATCTGGACGTCTCTGCGGAGGGGGCGGTGTGGATGTTACACGGGGGTCGGGGGCGAGGCCACAGCCAAGCGTCAGTTCCGGGTTCCAGCTCCCCCCCATCATTACTGCCTGAGCGCAGCTCTGTGCGAGGCACCAGGCTCCACACCGTGCAGATGCCCAGACACACCTCCACCAGAGAACTGGGGGCTCCCGGCGGTGGCAGCCCCCCCACCCCAGCCCAGCCCCCAGGTGTCCCATGTCACTGAGACCCGCCGGCAGCGCCCCCCCACCCCCACCCCGCGCTCACCGGAAGCAGGGGGACAGGTGCACGGACATGTTCTTGTGGCGCTTCTCGAAGCGGTTGTACTTGCGGATGTAGTGGAGATAGTCCCGGCGGATGACGATGGTCCTCTGCATCTTCATCTTGGTCACCACGCCTGGGGGAGGGAGGCCGTGGGGTCAGGCTCCTTGGGAAAGGGGACCCCGGGCAGCCCGGAGCATGCTGGGAGCTGCCAAGCAGCGTTAAGAAACCTTGGTTCTGGCATCAGCTATGCCAGTTGGCTTTCTCAGCAGTGCCTGCCACAGGCATCGGAAGACCATCGTGAAAACAGACATCACCTGCCAGGGTCCAGGGTCGGGGGGTGCCTCCAGCCCCTCCTCCCTCAGACCCAGAAAACTGACCCAAGCCCCCGACCGCGGCACTCACCGGACAAGATGCGCCCTCGGATGGAGACGTTACCGGTAAAGGGGCATTTCTTGTCAATGTAGGTGCCCTCAATGGCCTGGAGGGACAAGGAAAAGAAGTTATGCTTGGGGTGATGGGGAAAGAGGTGTGTGTCCGTAATACTCTCAACAATAAGCTTTGTTTTGAAGTAAGGCTTGCCCTAACCGGTTTGGCTCAGTGGATAGAGCGTCAGCCTTCGGACCGAAGGGTCCCAGGTTTTATTCCGGTCAAGAGTACATGCCAGGGTTTCAGGCACATTTCCTGTAAGGGTGTGCAGGAGGCAGCTGATGGATGTTTCTCTCTCATATATGTTTCTAACTCTCTATCCCCTCCCTCTCTGTAAAAATAAAATCAGTAACATGATTAAAGAAGTAAATAAATAAGGCTTGAGTAGGTCGTTCCTGGAAAGAACAGCGGGGTGTGGCCTCAGAGACAAACTACAATTCCCAGCAGCCCTCGGGGGAGGCAGGCGGAAGTGGGCAGGGCAGCTGAGCCGGGCACACGTGCGGAGTCGGGTCCCCTTCTTTCTTCCCAGGGTCCGTACCTCCTTGGGCGTCTTGAATCCCAGGCCGATGTTCTTGTAGTACCGAGGTAGCTTCTCTTTGCCGGTCTCTCCCAGCAGGACCCTCTTCTTGTTTTGGAAGATGGTGGGCTGCTTTTGGTAGGCTCGCTCCGTCTGCAGGGGCGAGGGAGCCGGTGAGCCCGGAGCGGGCCGCAGACCTTCCCGGGACCCCCAGACCCCAACCCTACAAGATCTCCGGCCCCAGAACTGCCTCCGGGGACACTTTGAGCCCAGAGGTCCCTCTAGTTCAGATGGGAACGTAACCCGGGGTTACTGCAGCATTTAAACTCTCAGGCACTTCCCACCGCCTGCAGCATTCATTACTTAGAACCCGGAGTCAGAACCGCATCTCGGACACCTTTCAGCAAGAATGACTGTCCAAGACACAAAGACATCCACCCAGGATCCACTTTTTATCTAACGTGCACCGGGACGGAGGCGGCGCAAATCCAGATAACGCAGGCACGCGCCCTCTCCTCTGCCCGAATTAGCCGCCGCGAAATCGAGGGCGCGCGGAATTAACTCCCCAACCGGGGCGCAGGGTCCCGCTCTCCTGGACACGCGCCTGAGGCCCGGGAAGGCCCCGCCACCGCGGCGTCGGCCGCGAGCTCGCACCTGAATGTCCGCCATCTTCGCGCCGCTTGGAAAAAAAGAAAGCTACTGGGGCGTCCGGGTTTCCTCATCGACTGCGCAGGGGCTGGAGAGGAAGTGACGAAACAGGGGACCCGGTAGCACGGTTTGGGGGCGGGACCGTGGGCGCACCTATGATTGGCCGACGACGCTGATCAAGCAGGTGATTGGACGACGGCACCGACGCCGCAATGATGGCGGGGGGCGGAGAGGCGGGTGGGCACCGTCTCGCGATAGTTCAGCCATTGTCTGGACGCGCTCGTTCACATTAGGAGGGAGGCGTGGCCGGCCTGGAGCCTTCCTATGTTATCGCGAGAGTGACAGGGAGGCGGTCAGAATTCTGCGCGCCGTAAGGTCACGTGGGCCCTGGGGACCGCGTGGCTGTGTCCGTACAGGGCCGGAGCGGGACACGGTGGCCGCCATCTTTCTGTCGGGAGGGAGATCGTGAAGTATTAGGACCTTGTGCGGCGGCGCCGCCGACGTAGTGAGAGGCGGGGGCTGCTCCTGCGCTTTTCCAGGGAAAGTTGTTCTCCGGTGTCCCGTTTCCTCCCAGGGCCCTCCTCCTGGTTTTCTGTTTGTACCGGCGCGGATCGCGAGACCTTTCTGCGATAATGGGAATGTCTGCGCTTTCCAACCCCGTAGCCCCTGAGGACCTGAACTTTTCACTTTAGTCTCAATAGATTTATTGATAAAATTACACGGCGCCAGCCTCCACCACGTTGGGCAGTACAGGACAGGACACATTAAATATGAATGCTTATAAACTTTTAAAAAAATGTCATTTGGGAGTTTAGTTATTTAAATTTGTTTTATAGTTGATAGCTTTGTGAATGTTCAACGATACATTTTTCATTTGTGGCGGTTGTCCTTTTTGGGGTTAGCGTTAACGGGGACTTTCTGTTTTAGAACTCCTGCATTATCTTTATCCTTTTTCTTCGTAGGAAAAAGCAGTTCCTGGAGTTTTTGAACGATTCGGAAAGTACCTATGATATTAGTTTGTGGGGTTTTTTTTTTTGGTTTTTTTTGCAAGGCAGGGCCCACCGCTGTTATCCACAACGCGTGTGAACCTGCGTGAAAGTTACTTAGAAAAAAGCTGAAAGAAAGCGTGCGCCCCGCGGTTTAGGTCTCCAGGCGAGCGATTGGGTGTGATTTCCTCTGGCTTTTCGAATGCTCAGTATTTTGCACATTGTGAGAGTGGTTGGGGAGATCTTGGTGATAAGAGAAAGCAAACACTGCTTCGCTCTGAGCGGAACCCACAATAGGAAGCGGCATTCAGTCTCATCAAACACCTTCTCTCCCTCTGCTGTCTCCCTGCCTTCTTTCCCGTCTGACTTTTAACTCCTTCCTTCCTTCCTGCAGCTCCCCCACCCCCTTTTCATTTGTATGTCACTTATCTAGTTTATGGCTAAATTGGCTTTTTCACCTGCATTATAAGCAGCCGTGGTGTCCAATAATAAACTTCAGCCACCGCTGCCAGATTTCAGACTGTGTCCCAGCACTACATAACAAAAATGCCATGGCTACTAGATCTGGAGCCGTCCCCTCTGAGCACAGAAATGCCTATTAAAACAAGACACTCCTGCCCTAGCCGGTTTGCTCAGTGGATAGAGGGCTGGCCTGTGGACTGAAGGGTCCCGGATTCGATTCTGGGATTCTGGTCAAGGGCACATGCCCGGGTTGTGGGCTCAATCCCTGGTGGAGGGCATGCAGGAGGCATTGACGTTTCTCTCTCCCCCTCTCTGAAATCATTATCGAAAAACACAAAAACCATGACCCTCCCTTATGGCACTCCCATGGACTGGACATGCTTTGGTGGTCACTGGAGCTTTGATTCCTTGCATTTGTGCATCGAGATTTTATTTTTGTTCTCTACTTAAATGTTGTATCTTCTCAGGTGCTGATTGGCCATTTGTATATATATATATATCTGCTTCGGTGAGATGTCTATTCAAAGCTTTGCCTAATTTTCATTTGGTTTGTCTCCTTATTACTGCATTTTAAGAGGTTTTTAAATATACATACTTGGCATGGAAGGCCTTTAAAGATTTCCAAGTATTTTCTGTCTGTGGCTTGCCATCATCTTATCGGTGTCTTCTGAAGTGGCAAGTGTTTTTAATGGATCGTGATTTCGGTGATTGTGCTGCTTTGACAGTTTTGTCAAATTATAGAATCAAGCTTCCCGTCTTCAGTTGCTTTTGGAGGCAGAACCCAGGAACTAAGGAGGGGTGGTCACCACCCGTTAGATTGAGAATCTTGGCCATTTTGGAAAGATGACCGAGGATAGAAAGGCAGGGGTGCGAGTTGTGACGGGCCTGTGAACGATCCTCAGCTCGCTCTTTGTGCAGGTCAGGCATTTGAATGAACGGAATTAGGAAATTATTTCTAAAGATCGCACACCAATCACAGGGGCTGCATGAATCCTGCTGCTTTTCCTGTGTGTGGAATTCAGGGTTTGCCATTGGACCAGGTGACTAAACCTCATCAGTGAAAGGGAGGGGCCTGATCAAACGTGACCCAAGGGCCCCCACCTGTCCCCCTACCCTTTCAGGGGTTCACCAGGCAGATCTAACCTGCCTACTCCCGTCCTAAACACCCCACTCCAATACCCAATTGCCACGCAGTTTCTTGCCCATTTCTCCCCGGAAGGGTGGACAGGATTGGAGTGTCCCTCGTCCCACAAAAGGGGTGGCTTTATAACGGGAGCAGCCCCACACCTCGCAGCTGCAGAGCATGGACGGCTTTGTCAGTTGGGGAATCAGAGGAAACGATGGTTTGAATTGTTGGCAAGTAAATCTTCCCACGCATGACAGGTTACGAACTTATCCATTACCTGTGGACAGTCCCCCTCCCCAGGGGCCTGGCCTCCGCTGCAGACACACGGCAAAGACGCCAAACTTCTTTAAAAATAATTTATTCATTTTCTGATCACAAGGTACAGGAACGTGCAAGTGCGATGCCGGAGCCTGGCTGCCGTCCTGCCTGTGCATCTGTCAATCCCTCGGTACAGTACCAGCTCCATCCTGCCCCCAGCACGTGCTACATCCTAACAGCTACAGGCTAGTATCTTGTGGGAAGTTGAGTTTTCCAGCTTAGAAGCGCTGAAAAGCAACTAGCGGTTCCAGCTGCTCATTTCCTAAAACTGAGCAGTCACAGGCAAAGTGTGCCCAACAAACGGGGCCAATAGCACTAAGGCCCCTCCGTCCCAGCCTCCTAAGGCCCGGGTAAGGTGCTGGGGCCCTGAACAGCCCCTGGGACTCCCCACATCCTAGGGCGGCGATGGAGGAAGGGCAGGCCAGGCCAACATGAGGAATAACAGTCAATTTTATTGGGCTCAGACCAGGAGTCCGTGGGCCTTGAGGACCTCTGTGAACTGGTCAATCTTCTTCTCCACGTTCTTTTCGGCCTGTTTCCGTAGCCTCTGTGGGGAGAACAGGCTGTGGTCAGTGCCTGCTGCCCATGACCAGCCCTCCCCGGGCGCTGGGGTCCCCCTGCCCAGGCCCGGTGCCCCCCCCTCACCATGAGCTGCTTTTTCTTGCGGTAGTGGATCTTGGCCTTCTCCTTCCTCTTCTCCTCCAGGGTGGCTGTGACGGCCTGGTACTTCCAGCCAACCTCATGGGCCAGGCGCCCGAGGTAGGCAAACTGGGGTGGGGGGAATGAAGGTATAAATAAACGGGAGCCTAGATCGGAGAGGGGCTGAAGACTGCTCCCAGGACCCCAGTTTAAATCAGAAAACCCACCCCCTGTGTAAGGGCCCCCGCTCCTCCTGGCATCAGCTAAGCCATTGGCGTTTTCGGCAGTGCCCAGAGGCATCCGCAGACCATCGTGAGAAAAAACCATCATGTGCCAGTCCTGGGGCCCCGGGTTCAGCCCCCATGTCGGTCTGTCCACGTAACCTGGACTCACCTTCCGGGTGGGCTTCAGACGCACAACCTTGAGGGCGGCGGGCACCACCATCCGCTTTTTCTGTGGAGAAGGAGGGGCTTAGGGAGGAGTGAGGACGGGCAGGGAAGAAGGCTGGCTGGGGCAGGCGTCTCAGCCAGGGCTGTTCTCACGGGGGTCAAACAATGTAGGTAATCGCGATCATCACGGACGCCGCCAGACACGGGTGCTGGGCCGGGCTTGGTGTCTCACCTTGTCGTAGGGCGGCGGGATGCCGTCAAACACCTTGAGGCGGTCCAGGGCGGCCTGGCCGCGCTTGGTCTTGTGGGGCAGCATGCCTGCGGGCAGAGGGACGGCAGCGGCTCAGGGGGGCTCGCAGCGACCCCTTCGCCGGGCAGGCGGAGCGGCGGCCTCAGATGGTAGTGCATGTGGAGTCATCTCACGGTCGGGAAACTCGAACTTGAGTGGGAGAAGTCCTCATCACGGGCCACGCCCCCCACCCCCCTTCCCCGTCCCCAGGACCAGCTCACCTCGCACCGTCCGCCAGAAGATGCGGCTGGGGGCTCGGAAGTGGTAGGGGCCGCGGGACGGGTTGGTGTTCATCCGCTTGCGGAGGAAGGCCAGGTACTTCACTGAGGAGAGGGGAGGGGTGAGGCGGTCAGTCCCCAGGGAGACCCCGGCTTCTTCCCACACCCGCCTCCAAGGCCTATTCTGGGCCTCATAACATCTCCAACCACTGGGGGGGGGGGGGGGGGGGGGAGGCCCTTAATGCTCCAGTCTCCCCCTGCCATAACTTACACTTGTTCCTGTAGAAATTTCCAGAAATGTTGATGCCCTCACAGCGCACCACCACCACCTTGCGGCCTAGAGAAGGAAAGTGAGGCACTCAATGGGGGGCTTAAGCCAAGACACCCCTGCCCAGCCGAGGATCCAGGAAGGACGATCCTCCCAGGTCGGGACACCACCACCAGGGCAAGCAAGCAGCGGGCCCAGCAGGGGAACCCCTTGCTGGCTCAGAGCTACATTTATGCTTTAATGAGTTTGCCCAAAATAAAGGATTAACCCCCCACCCCACCCCGAGCTCCCAATCCCAGGGGAGGGGGTGGCTGGCAGGTCTCAGAGCGGTGCATGGGGTTGATCTCATGGTCGTGAGACTCAAACGAAAGATGGTGATTGCTGCTCATCACGGACTGCCGGCCTGGGCTCAGACTGGGAGGGCTGTGGGCACAGGGCACTTACCCAGCAGCACCTGCTTGGCCACGATGGCCGCCAGGCGGCCCAGGAGATGGCCTCGGCCATCGAGCACCAGGACCTGCTGAAGTCAGAGGAGGGCTCAGTCACCCAGAACTTTCCGATTCCCACCCCAAGCAACCACTGTTCACTGTTTCTGACACTTTATCCCCCAGGGTGCTTCCTATCCGGGCACCAGGCCTAGGACCCCAGGCTCACTTTACAGACGAGGCCAAAATAGCAAATGGTTGACTCGGGATTTCAATGAGCAGGACAAGAACTCCTCTCACATCTCGGCTGCTCGAAGGGCAGGGGGTTTTATGCCCCGATTACAGCTTCTTCACCAAGAGGAAAAGTCCCCTCGCTATGGAGTGCCGATTGTTGGCAGGCAGAAAGGTACAGAATCTAAAGCCCAACTTCCTGACAATGTGACTCTGGGCAAAGATCTGCAGCTCTCCATGCTTCCACTTCCTCACCTGGAAGATGAGGATAACAAATATCTGCCTCAGGAACAGTGTGATCTCAGTTACAGGAAAGACAGTGCAAACTGGGCCAGGCACACAGCAAATGCGGGGACAAGCTCGGGGGACTGACTCCGCACTGGTCTCGCTCGTAACTGCAGACCCGGCGCATGAAATACATAAGGATCCCTCCCCGGCCCAGGGCATCTGATGTTGAGCTGCTGTGCCTTCGCTGAAGACCGAGTGCTTCAGGACAAAGGACGTGGCAGGGCTCTCGAGCATTTAATCACGTCTTCTGCTTTAATAGCAGCAGCACCTCAAAGCACCATCAAACCCAAAAGCAAAGGGGAAAAACACACAATTTGTTCCTGAAAGCCTCGTAGGCAAGAGTTCTTTGGACCCACAGTTAAATACTTCGTGCCCAAACACCCCGAGGTGCAGGGGGGGCCTGCCTGGCACTCCCTCGGGAGAGCAGAGCAAGGCCGTCTGGGGGGAATGAAAGGGCCTCCATTTTGGCTAATCCCGGGCTTCTCGGCCGCCTACCACGTGCTTCCCGGGCGCCACAAACACGCGGGTCCAAGTCCTCCCAGTACCAGCCCGGATCCAGGAAAACAGAACAGCTTTAAAAACGGCTCTTCCTGGGCTGGAAGTCTCCCCCGTCGCCCCTAAGAGGAGCGAGGCCGCCTTTTCCCGGCCCTGGTCGCAGACAGTCCCAATGTCTCCCGTTTGCCCTCACAGGGCCTCCTCAGCTCTCCGTTTCGCTCAGTTACGGAGCTGAAGTCTCGCTGCGCACGTACGAAGGGAGAGAGGATCCGACCCCGGCCCAGCCCGGCCCCCACCCGGGCCCTCGCCGCCCCGGCCCGCGCGGAGCCCGCACCTGCCCCTCCGCCATCTTCGGCAGCCGCCTGGGAAAGGAGGAAGCCTTGGCGCAGGGTTTCTTATCCCTTGCAACAGGGGCGGAGGAAATGACGCCGCGCGGCCTACGCGGGCAGCTTTCTGCCGTCTCATTGGCCACGGTCGCGCGCGTGCGCGCTGAGGCCCCGCGAGAGGGCGGGTCTTCTTCGGAGCGTCCAATCCGGGGGCGGTTCCCAGCAGGACCTCGGCGGCCATGATTGTGCGGGGCGGGAGGTCACGTGGGGCGGGAGCGGGGCTCCGCTCGGGCGGGCCGTCCCGCCTCGGCCGCCATGTTTTTGAGGGACTGTTCACTTCCCTCGCGCCAACAGCCCGGCGCAGCGGGGAAGCGCGGGTACCCCCTCCAGCGACAGAGGCTGCCGGGCATGTGGTGGCCCGCCGGGCGTCAAGTGCCTCCGACGGGGTCTGAGGCCGCCTGTGTCCCGCGTCTCCCCCCACCCTGGCCAGGAACCCCCGAGGGCTGGGCGGCTCTGACTGGGGACCGGGTGAGGGTGGGGGTCCGCCGGCCTAGCCTTGCATGGGCCCCGGGTGAACGCCCGCGTTCTCTGGAAGCCCAAGACGCCACCCACATGGACCCCAACAGACAGGCTGAGCAGCGCGGGTAGAAAAGGAAGGTTTATGTACAAGTTGCCGGGGACGAGGGCCGCGTACAGAGCGGGGCGGGCGGGGCGGGCGCCGGCGCCGGGGGCGGGCGGGGCTGGCGGGACCTCCGTGCCGGGGGCACCGGGGCGGGGGCAGCGCCGCCCGGGCAGGCCCCGGGCTCCGGCTGGCTTCCTCCGAGCGGCTCTGCGTCCTCGGCCGGCTGGCTCCTCGCTCCGGGCCTCGGGGTCCGCTGTAAAACGGGGGGCACACGGTCTGCCTCCGGGCGGGGGGACCCCCGGGGGGAGCCGAGGGCGGCCCCGCGCCTGCGCCCTCGGCCCCGCGCGCCCCCGTGGGCTCCGCGCCCCGAGTTTCACATTTTTCTCTAATTCGATGTTAACCGTGTGGTGAGTGGGAGAGGGAAAACACGTGGACGGGGACAAACCGGGCAGAAGACCTCTCAGACCTGGAAGGACCGCTCTGAAACAAATGCATTTTGAAATGAAAACCATTCAACTTAGGAACCGGCCCTCGAGCCACTGGTTGGGCAACTGCATGTTTCCAACCGCGTGAGCAAGTGGATCTGCTGCTGCTGCTGCGCCTTCCAGAAACCTGCGGCCGGAGCGGGCGTTTCCCGCGGCACCTCATGGAGGTGGGCTGTGAAGGGAGCGTGCGCAGGGAAGACTCGGTATGAAAAAAGGATGGAAAACATACCGTTAGTCGTTTTGTAAAATATTGATTTACATGTGGAAAGAACATTTTGGACACACAGGGTGGAATAAAATCTTTCTTTTCTTTTTAAATATGCCTTTTGGAAAACTGTAAACCCTGTGTGGCTTGTGATCTGTTTCTATTGGGCTCTGCGTATGTCACTCTTTACCTCTAGACAAATCACTCTATGGCAGGCTATTCTTAGTGTTTTGTCCAGATAAGGAAACTGAGGCAAAAGAGTGAAAAGCACAGAAGCCAGAGTCAAATCTGGAGTCTGCCACTCATGAGCTGTGTGACTTCCGGCCGGGGATAGACCTCTCTGTGCATTGTCCCCGTTTCCGCCCTTGTGAATCGGGGACAATGCCCCAGCTTCTCAGTTAAGGGAGTGAGTTTGTGGAAAACCTCCCCACAAGGCCTGTATGTGCATGTGATCACAGGGACATGGCTCTAGTCTGTCCCTCTGGGCCTGCCTGGAACACACAGCCTCCCTCTCCTCTCTCCTGACCTGCCGACCTCTTCCCCACACCCCCCAGGTGCTCTGCTCCATCACATGCTTCCAGAGCTGGCTGCTGCCCTGGGCAGGAAGTCCCAGCTTCCTTGCCAGGCATGTGAGGCCTGGGTTTTCCTATGGCATTTTCCAATCCCCACCCACACCTGCCCAAGTCCCTGGGACACGCTGAGCTTTTTCACACCGCGGGGCTTTGCCAAGGCCCCTCCCCCCCTACACTCCAGGCAGCCACACTCAGCGTAAACTGCATCCTTATTTCTCCCACACGTCCCCCTGGGCTCACTGTCTGTCCCTCCTCTCCCCCTTCCCCCAGGCGCCACTGCCCACCCGGTCACTGTGCCACCCCCAAGCCTGCCAGTCTCCAGCCTGCTCGCTGACTCTGCCCTGGCCTTCTCCCATCCCCCTGGTCCCAGCCAGCCTCAGCCCTGGTCCTCTCTCGCTGCACCCTCCCAGCCTCCTCCTCCACCTCCAGTCTCTCCCAGTCTGTCCCCTTATGCAGGGGTCCTCAAACTTTTTAAAGTGGGGGCCAGATCACGGTCCCTCAGAGAGCTGGAGGGCCGGACTATATGAACTACTAATTCCTACTGTAACACCTCGGCTGCGCTCACTGCCCAAAAAACCTGGCGGGCCGGATCAGACTCCTCTGCGGGCCGCATGTGGCCCGCGGGCCGTAGTTTGAAGACCCCTGCTGGCCTTCCGGCAACCAACCTGACCCGCCTCCACTGCCCCCACCCTGCACACACACCAAGGCCAGACTCACCCAGATGAGCCGGTGCTCCTGGGCCCTGGAGGCGGGGCCACGCTGCCCCCCCCCCCCCCCCCCAGCCAACCCAGCAGGGCAGCTATGTCTCCCCAGCCCCTCTGCCCCCGCTGGCTCACCTGCTCCCCGGGGCAGGGCCTCCGCCGCCGCCTCCTCCGCCAGCCCAGGCACCAGGCAGCGGTGAGCAGTGCCACGGCCGCAGGCAGCAGCAGCAGGAACAGCAAAGAGGCCTGAGGGGCCGGCAGGGCTGTGGCCGCCAAGCCCAGGGGACTCGCTGAGGGCAGCAGAGTGGAGGAGTCTGCGGGGAGAGAGGACCAAGGGGAAGGGTCAGGCCAGGAAAGGCCTTCCGGTGCTGCTGTGTGACCTCGGGTGGGCCCCCGGCCTCTCTGTGCCTGTCTCCTGACCCATAAAATGGATAACATTATCCCTGTGTCCTAAGGCGGTCACAGAAATGGAATGGGTGCACGAGGAAGGCTTGGGACAGTGTCTGGCACACGGGGAGGCCGAACGTTCTAGAAATGAGCGAATGCTCTGGTGCTTCTGTGTGGATTTGTCTTCCTCTTGCCCCGATCGTCCAGGAGCTGCATGCATCTGTCTTATTTATTCCTAGAACCTACTACCTAGTGCTCACTAAGTAACATTAGAAAAATGTAATTTACAGCCCTGGCCGGTTTGGTTCACTGGGTAGAGCACTGACCTGTGGACTGAAGGGTCCCAGGTTCGATTCCGGTCAAGGGCATGGACAATACCTTGGTTGCAGGCTCCTCCCCAGCCCTGGCCCAGGCTGAGGGTTGTGCAAAAGGCAACCGGTCAATGTATCTCTCACAGGAGATGTTTCTGTCTTTCCCCCTCCTACACTCTAAAAAGTCAGTGGAAGCCAAAACCGGTTTGACTCAGTGGATAGAGCATCGGCCTGCGGCCTGAAAGGTCCCGGGTTCAATTCAGGTCAAGGGCGTGTACCTAGGTTGCGGGCACATTCCCAGTAGGGGGTGTGCAAGAGGCAGCTGATCGATGATTCTCTCTCATTGATGTTTCTAACTATCCCTCTCTCTTCCTCTCTGTAAAAAATCAATAAAATATATATATATATTTTTTAAAGTCAATGGAAATATATCGTCAGGTGAGAATATATATATAAAATTTACAGCCCGGCTGGTATGGTTCAGTGGTTGAGCATTGACGCATGCACCAAGAGGTCACCAGTTTGCTGAAACCGGTTTGTCTCAGTGGATAGAGCGTTGGTCTGCAGACTGAGGGGTCCCGGGTTCGATTCCGGTCATGGGCATGTGCGTTGGTTGCGGGCACATCCCCAGTGCGGGGTGTGCAGGAGGCAGCCCATTGACGTTGATGTTTCTCTCTATTGATGTTTCTCTCGTTCTCTTTCTTCCTCTCTCCCTAAAATCAATAAAAACATTTTTAAAAATGTTGTAAGCCATAGATTGCATTCTATTAAGTAACAGTTTTTCCTTAAAAAAAAAAAAATGACCTTGCACCCTCGCAGGTTTGACCCAGTGGAGAGAGCACTGGTTGTGGACTGAAGGCTCATGGACTGGATACCAGTCAAGGGCACGTACCTCGGAGGCAGGCTCAGTCCTGGCCCTGCTCAGGCGCGTGCAGGGCGGCAACTGATCCATGTGTCTCTCTCATACCTCCCTGCCCTCCCACTCTCTAACAATCAATGGAAAAGTGTCCTCGGGTGACGATGAACAACAATGTCCCTGGTCAGGGCACACACCGGGACTGTGGGCTTGATCCCCAGTAGAGGGCGTAGGGGAGGCAGCGATCTGTTTCTCTTCTTTTCCCCGCCCTTCCCCTCTCTCTAAAATCAAAGGAAAAATATCCTCGGGTGAGGATTACCAAAAACAAAGGGGGAAAAAAAAAGAAGAAAAATATCTGGTTGAGCAATTGAATAGTCCTAAATATAACTACAAATGACAGACAAGGCTCAATAGGAGTGAGAAAGATTGAAAATTCGGGGAAGAATTGAGAAAATTCAACTTAGAGTGAGAATTTTAAAAAAGATCCCTCTTAAGAAGAAAACAAACAAAATATCCCTCTCAGAACTTGACAGATCTAGTAGGCAAGGTTTACAAGAACGGAAAGACTGAATAAAACCATGATAAGGGTGACAGAAAATAAATATCCTAAACAAGAGTGAATTTACCTTTTTTTTAACTTAAAAATATTTTTAAAATTGAGCCGAAACCAGTTTGGCTCAGTGGATAGAGCGTCGGCCTGCGGACTGAAAAGTCCCGGGTTCGATTCTGGTCAAGGGCATGTACCTTGGTTGAGGACACATTCCCAGTAGGGGGTGTGCAAGAGGCAGCTGATGGGTGCTTCTCTCATCGATGTTTCTAACTCTCTATCCCTCTCTCTTCCTCTCTGTAAAAAAATAAAATATATATTTTAAAAATTGATTTGAGAGAAAGAGAGAAACACCAATGTGAGAGAGAAACATTGATTTTTTAAATTATATTTTATTGATTTTTTACAGAGAGGAAGGGAGAGGAATAGAGAGTTAGAAGCATCGATGAGAGACATTGATGAACTGCCTCTTGCACACCCCCCACTGGGGATGTGCCCGCAACCAAGGTACATGCCCTTGACCACAATCGAACCCGGGACCTTTCAATCCGCAGGCCAACGCTCTATCCACTGAACCAAACCAGTTTCGGCAAAACGTTGATCTGGATCGGCTGCTTCCTGCACACCCATTATGAGGGATCCAGCACCACAACCCAGCTGTGTGTGCCCTGACCTCTGACCAGAAATCAAATCTGTGACCTCTCAGCGCAGAGATGACGCCCAACCCACTGAGTCACAACAGGGCTTTGTTGTTAATCCCTGTCCGAGGGTGTTTTTCCACTGATATATAGAGAGAGTGGAAGGGAGGGGAGACAGGGAGAGGAACATCAATGGGAGAGAGACACATTGCTTGGTTGCCTCCTGAAGCCAAGGCACAAGCCCTTGTCTGGCGTTGAACCCAGGACCCTTCAGTCTTCGGGCAGCTGCTCCATAGCTCCACCCACTGAGCCAAACCAGCCAGTGCCAGGACTTCCCCCTCCCCTTACCTTTTAAAAAATGGCTACTAGATAATCAATGGACACAGACAACAGGGGGATGGGGGCATGAATGGGAGGTGGGGGGTAATGGAGGAATAAGGATACATAGGTAATACCTTCATCAATAAAGAAATTAGAAAAAAATAAGTAAAACCTTAAAAAGAATCCAAATGCCAAAAGTTAAAAAAAAAAAAAAAAGGCTACTATTGATAGAAATTGTACACTTAAACAAGCAGCTCTCCCCACACTGTATTTCTATGGCACGGGCCCGCCTTAGAGAAACAGGCAGGGATTGCTGTCCCTTCTCAGAGATGGGTAAACTGAGGCCCAGAGAGGGGAATGAACGTGGGGGGACAGGCCCAAAGTCGTGCAGCGGATGGGAGCAGTGGGGTGCGGGAGGCGGTGCGGAGGGAGGGGGGGCGCTGAGGGTGGGGGCAGGGAGAGGCGGAGGGCCTGGGAGGGGGTGCTGGGAGCCTTTACCCGGCTGGCACTGCAGCTCCAGGCACCCCGAGAAATTCCGGCGGGTGATCCAGGGCTTCAGGGCCCGCAGCTGCGCGGAGGTGTCCTGCAGGAGGTGGGAGATGTTGGTCTGGACGAAGCGAAGACAGCTAGGGAGGGGCTGGGGCAGGGGAGGGATACGTCACCACCGGATCGCCCCCTGCCCCTCCTCAGGCCCAGCAGCCCCAGCAACCGGCCCGGCAACGGGGCCCAGCGAGGCCCGGGGCTGAGGGAGAGTTTGGCCCGCTGCTCTCCCTGGTTGCTAGGGGAAAGCGTCCTTAGCAACGCCCAGCAACAGGGCCCAGGGAGGTCTAGTCCAGAGGGCATTTAGATCCCCCCTCCTCCCCTGGTTGCTAGGGGAGAGAACCCCTTAGCAACGCCCTGCAGCGGGGCCTGAGAAAGAAACGCAGCCCGTGCACCGGGCCCACTCCCCCGCCAGCCTCCCTCGGGGCTCAGAGGGGTGCCGTCCCCAGCACCCGGCCTTTGCTCCGGACAAAAGAAACCCCCAGCCAGGCCGGGCTGAGCTGCGTCCCCCATGCCCTAGGAAGGCAGCTCCTCCCTCACTTGCACCCCAAGTTCAGGGCTGACCTGGAGGGCACACGAGGTGACAAAGTCTATCTCCGTGTTGACAGCCTCCAGCAGCTTTTCCATCTGGGTCCCCGCCACAGTCTTGAGCTGTACAAGCCAGCGCTGGGCCAGCACGAGGCGCCAGAAGGCCCCGCAGACCTTGTCCTGGGGAGACAGCCAAGCTCTGGGCCCCCTGGGCAGAGGGGGAGCGGGGAGGGGTCTCAGGAGGAGGGGCTGGGGGTCTGGCTCCTGGACTCCGGGGTCTGAGGGAGGAGGGGCTGGGGGTCTGGCTCCTGGAATCCGGGGTCTGAGGGAGGAGGGGCTGGGGGTCTGGCTCCTGGACTCCGGGGTCTGAGGGAGGAGGGGCTGGGGGTCTGGCTCCTGGAATCCGGGGTCTGAGGGAGGAGGGGCTGGGGGTCTGGCTCCTGGAATCTGGGGTCTGAGGGAGGAGGGGCTGGGGGTCTGGCTCCTGGAATCCGGGGTCTGAGGGAGGAGGGGCTGAGGGCCTGGACCCTGGGTCTGAGGGAGGAGAGGGCTGGGGGCCTAGGACTCCTGGGTCTGAGGGAGGAGGGGCTGGGGCCTGGACCCTGGGTTTGAGGGAGGTGGGGCTGGGCCCTGGGTCTGAGGGAGGAGGGCCTGGGGGGCTGGACCCCTGGGTCTGAGGGAGGAGGGGCTGGGGGCCTGGATTCCCTGGGTCTGAGGGAGGAGGGGCTGGGGGGCTGGACCCCTGGGTTTGAGGGAGGAGGGGCTGGGAGCCTGGACCCCGGGGTCTGAGGGAGGAGGGGCTGGGGGCCTGGAGCCCTGGGTCTGAGGGAGGAGAGGCTGGGGGCCTAGGACCCCTGGGTTTGAGGGAGGGGGGGCTGGGGGGCTGGGGGCCTGGACTCCGAGGTTTGAGGGATCGCAAACCAGCCCGGTCCCCCGCTGGTGCATCGAGTGGCTTTCCCACCTCCATCCCGGCCCCTCCCAGCTGTGACTCACGTCCTGCAGGTTGGAGGCGACCGTGACGGGGTAGTCTTGAAGCAGGTAGTCAGACTGCGGGAGGAAATGGGTGCAGCTGGCTGAGGACGGGAGGAGACAGACTGTGGAGAGGACCTGGACGAGGGGGACAGGAGCCAGACCGAGGCCCGCAGGGGGGGGGGGGGACTCAGGCTCAGCGCCAGCGCGGAGGCTGGAGGGCACTCACCAGCTTGCGGATTCTGTCCGGGAAGGTGGAGGTGATGGGGCTGTGGGGGAAGGTGCAGGCTGGGGTCCCGCAGAGCCCGGGGCTCAGCAGCAGCAGCAGCAGCAGCAGCAGCAGGGAGGTCTGTGGGGAGGGGCCCTGTTGGCTCCGCACCCCTCCCCGGGCGCTCCCCTTCCCCTTTCCCAGCTCAGCCCATTGGGGTCCACCCCCTCCCAGTCGGCCTCAGGTCTGCCACTCTGACCTCTGTCCCTGGTTTTCTCTCTGCTGCCGTCCCCGTACCGTCCAGTCTCCTCTGCCCCCAACCTGGCCCAGCGATAGGTCCCCCTCGCTCTGCCCGGATCCTCTCTGTCCACCCCCTGCCCTTATCTATCTCTGTCCTCATGCTCATCTCTCCCACTTCTCCCTTCTTCTGGTTCCCGCTGCCCATCTTCACCCACCTCCCTCTGGTTCTTCTCCCCACCCTGTCCATCTCCCCCTACCCCTGTCCGTCTCCCCCACCCCTGTCCATGTCCCCCACCCCTGTCCATGTCCCCCACCCCTGTCCGCCTCCCTCCTCCCCTGTCCGCCTCCCTCCTCCCCTGTTCGTCTCCCCACCCTGTCCATCTCCCTTTACCCCTGTCCTTCTCCCTCCACCCCTGTCTTTCTCCCTCCACCCCTGTCCTTCTCCCTCCACCCCTGTCCTTCTCCCTCCAACCATGTCCATGTCCCCTACCCCTGTCCGCCTCCCTCCACCCCTGTCCGCCTCCCTCCTCCCCTGTTCGTCTCCCCCCTCCCCTGTCCATCTCCCCCTATCCCTGTCCATGTCCCCCACCCCTGTCCTTCTCCCTCCACCCCTGTCTTTCTCCCTCTACCCCTGTCCTTCTCCCTCCACCCCTGTCCTTCTCCCTCCAACCATGTCCATGTCCCCTACCCCTGTCCGCCTCCCTCCACCCCTGTCCGCCTCCCTCCTCCCCTGTCCGCCTCCCTCCTCCCCTGTTCGTCTCCCCACCCTGTCCATCTCCCTTTACCCCTGTCCTTCTCCCTCCACCCCTGTCTTTCTCCCTCCACCCCTGTCCTTCTCCCTCCACCCCTGTCCTTCTCCCTCCAACCCTGTCCATGTCCCCTACCCCTGTCCGCCTCCCTCCACCCCTGTCCGCCTCCCTCCTCCCCTGTCCGCCTCCCTCCTTCCCTGTCCATCTTCCTCCACCCGTCCTTCTCCCTCCATCCCTGTCCAACTGCTCCCACCCCTGTCCATGTCCCCCAGCCCTGTCCATCTCCCCCCTCCCCTGTCCATCTCCCTCCTCCTGTCTGTCTCCCCCCTCCCCTGTCCATGTCCCTCCACTCCTGTTCGTCTCCCCCACCCCTGTCCACTTCCCTCCACCCCTGCCCATGTCCCTCCACACCTGTCCGTCTCCCCCCTCCCCTGCCCGTCTCCCTCCTCCCCTGCCCGTCTCCCCCCACCCTTGCCCGTCTCCCTCCACTTTCTGCAGCTCCTCACCTATCCGTCCACATGACACTGCCCTGTCCCCCACCTTGCCCAGGGATACGCACAGTTGGGCTCCAGGCTGGTGCCAACACTCTCATCTCCGCCGGAGGCCCCTCATGCCTGTGGCCAGGTCTTGGAAAGGACAGGAGAGCAGGTTTGGGGCTGGCACACCCCAGCTCTGTGCTCCCCCGCCCCTTCGCCTCCCTGCCCCTTGATGTGGCCAGGTTTCCGCCTCCTTCTCCCACGGGTTTCCTGCATGCGCCCCAGTTACGGCGAACGCTCGCATCTCGCATCTCCCTTTCTAAGAACCCCGACAGGCGATCCTCGGAACCCTCCCCAGGCAGGGGCCCAGGAACCCGACCCCCACGCCTCCCCCGGCCGCAGCTGGGCACCCCGCCCCGTCCCCCCGGGACCCAGAGCCCATGTCTCCTCCAGCACCAGTCATGCCCCAGCTGCAGTGGAGCGGGCCAGCCGGTGACAGCCAGAGACCGAAAGTGAAAGAAAGTTTTGGAGGGGACAGCGACGGGGGTGGACCTGTCTGAGGCCAGGGCGCCACCTGGTGGCAGCCCGGAGGGCGCCTGCCCCGGCGGGAAGGCTGCGGGGTCAGTTCGCACAGGTAGGGAGCTGGGCTGGAACCCGGCTGAGCAGAAGCGATGCACTCAGGGCGAGGAGGTCACTCTGAGCTCGTTTTCTCCTTGTCCTCCGCCCCCCCCCCCCCCCCCCCCCCCGCCCCACGCTGAGGCTCAAAGCCTTGGCACGGACTTGTGATCTTGGCCTTTCACTGCCCACAGTCCAGTCCCAGCAAATTTGCTGGCTGCCAAATGTCAAAATGAAAAAGAAAAGGAAAAAAAAAAAAAGTCAAAATGGTGCTAGCCGGTTTGGCTCAGTGGATAGAGCAAGGGCTTGTGGGCTGAAGGGTCCCGGGTTCGATTCCAGTCAAGGGCACATGCCCGGATTGTGGGCTTGATCTCCAGTATGGGGCGTGCAGGAGGCAGCCGAGCAATGATTCTCTCTCATTGCTGAAGTTTCTCTCTCCCTCTCCCTTCCTCTCTAAAACCAATGAAAATGTATATATTTTTTTAAAAAGTCAAAATGCATCTGGAGACCCTACAATCACTTCTCAGCACCCAGCTGCCATCACCTGGGGTCTGCCACCCTCTGCCCTGAGTACCAGTGTGGCCTTGGCCCTCCCCGCACCTGCCCGGTCCTCCCCGCTCCCGCCATCTGTTCCCCATATGGACCAGTGTTACTGGGGTGCTCCCTGCCACTCAAATGAAAAGACCAGGTCCTCACGGTGGCCCACAAGACCTGCAAAATCTGGCCCAATCCCCTCTCTGCTTTGGCTTCCTCCCTCTGCCAGGGACAGGCTCCCCCCCACACCCCTGCCCCAGGGCCTTTGCACGGCAGATCCCTCAGCCTGAACACCCCCCACCCACATGGCTCAGACCCCATCACACAGGCAGGCAAAGCCCCCCACCACATTCCCCACACTGTAAGCCTGCTTTCCTCTCCCGGGCACACCCTGCACTCATTCTCTGCCAGGGGCCCATGGGGCCCTCGATCCAGGTCCATGGTGGGGAGGTCTGTTTGAATCAGAGCAGGCGCTCCATCGGTATTTGTTAAATAAATGAACAAGCAATGGACCTGCCCTGACTGGTTTGGCTCAATGGATAGAGCGTCGGCCTGTGGACTGAAAGGTCCCGGGTTCGATTCCCGTCAAGGGCATGTACCTTGGTTGCGGGCACATCCTCAGTAGGAGGTGTGCAGGAGGCAGCTGATGTTTCTCTCTCATTGATGTTTCTTTCTTTTATTTTTTAAAAAATATCTTTTATTGATTTTTTACAGAGAGGACGAGAGGGACAGAGAGTTAGAAACATGTTAGAAACAATGGGGCCCTGGATGGTAACCACCAGGAGGGACCCCCCTTAACCCCGGATCCACATCGCCCGTAACCTGCAGGCACTGTACCTCGCCTACTTCCTCATACCTGCGGTTCCTACTTCCCCAGTGATCTTTGTCCTTCTACCCAATGTAAACAGCGGGCTTGTGTGTGTGTGTGTGTGTGGGGGGGTGCGTAGAGCAGATTTTCATGGATGACCTGCTAATCTCCGCATGATTCAACCCTGTCTCTGCTTAATTGGTTCAAGTAGTGACAGACAGCCCAGACCCATTCATTGTCCAGTTTCAGATCCTGGCCCTGGCCTGGTAGCTGGAGAGCATCGTCCCAATATAACAAGGTTGCAGGTTCGATCCCAGGTAAGGCAAGAATCAACCAATGAATGGATAGGTAAATGGAACAACTAATAGATGTTTCTCTCCTTTCCTCCCTCTAAAATAAAGTAAAATAAAGCCCTAGTAGGTTTGGCTCAGTGGAGAGCATTGGCCTGAGGATTGAAGGGTCTGGGGTTTGGTTCCGGTCAATGTACATGCTGGCTCGGTACCCAGTGTGGGGCGTGCAGGAGGCAGCTGATCAATGATTCTCTCTCATCATTGATGTTTCTACCTCCTCTCTTTCCCTCTCTGAAATCAATAAAAATATATTTTAAAAATAATAAAATAAAAAAAAAGAGAAGGCATCTGGTCTTCTGTTTCCTGGGAGACAACATATAAGTCCTCAGCCTTTCCCTGTAAAATGATGGGGTCTTTGTTATTCATGAGCCCCACCCCCACCCATGCTATCATAATAAGATGCCTTGAGATGGGAGGTTGGTCAGTCCCCAAAGACCAATCAGAGGATGAGAAGGTTGGGGCTTTGAGACCAGGAGGCAGATGATCAATGATTCTCATCATTCTTATTTGTATATCAATAAAAAGATATATATTAAAACTTTTTAATTAATTAATTTATTTTAAAAATACTTTTATTGATTTCAGAAAGGGAGAGAGAGAAACATCAACGATGAAAGAGAATCATTGACGGACTGACTGCTTCCTGCTCGCTCCAACTGGGAATCCAACCTTCACCTCCTGGTTCATTAAGTGGACGCTCAACCACTGAGCCATGCTGGCTGGGCTTAATTTATTGATTTCAGAGAGAGGGAGAAGAGAAATTCATACATTCATTGGTTGATTTTTATATGTGCCCTGACCGGGAATTCAAGCCAGAATCTTACATATGGGACAACGCTAAGTGAGCTGGGCTGCCCAGCCAGGGCAAGGATTTTTTTTTAAAGTGTGGTTTCTTTTATTTTTTTAAAAAAAATGTTTTTATTAATTCTAGAGAGAGAGGAAGGGAAAGGGAGAGAAACATAGATTGGGATCGAACCCAAAACCTGGGTATATATGCCTTGGTTGGGAATCAAACTGGCAACCCTTTGGTGCATGGGAGAACACTCAACTAACGGAGCCGGCCAGGGCAGTTTTCGACATTTTATAAGAACTTATTTGAGCCTAAAGGGGTGACAATTGCTAAGAAGCAAGATCTCAAATACTCACCGGCCACTTTTCTGGCCTAATCAGATCTGCATCATGCTTCCAGGCTCAAGGCAATCATGCCCTCACAAAAGATGGCAGCGCCCACAGCCAACGAGAGAATATGTTAATAGATTACCATGCCCTCAAAGATGGTGGTGCCCACAGCCACAAGATGGCGATGCCCAGTCCCTTCAGCCTCCCAGCCCCCCAAGGCTGGCCTGAGTCACAGCAGAGCCTTGAATGGCGGCTGCCCAGCTGCCTGAGGCTCAGGTAACCAGGGCTGGCCGAGGCTTGCACTGCCGGCAGTGGCAGCAGCAGAGGTGTGATGGGGGCACTGCCTTCCCCTGATCGCCAGTTTGCCTCCCGCCCCTGAGGGCTCCTGGACTTGCAAGGGGGCAGGCTTGGCTGAGGGGAAAAGCCCCTCCCCTCCAGTCCATGAATTTTCATGCACCGGGCCTTCAGTATCTCAATAATGCTGGAAAAAAACACCTCAGTGTATACAACACTTCCTTGGGAAGGTCCTCACCACCTTCTGCCTCCCTCTCTCTCCTTCCTTCCTTCCCTCCCTCTCCCTCTCTCTCCCTCCCTCTCTCTCTCTCTCTCTCTCTCTCTCTCTCTCTCTCTCTCTCACACACACACTCTTAAGCTATGTAGGGTGCTTTCTCTGGGCTTCCAGTGTCCTGAGCTTCATCCGTAATTATTATTTTAGGGAGGGAGAGGGAGAGATAGACACACCAATGATGAGAATCATTGATAGGCTGCCTCCTGCACACCCCCCCCCCCCAACTGGGGATCAAACTGGCAACATGAGCATGTGCCCTGGCCAGGAACCAAAATGTGACCTCCTGGTTCATAGGTCGACGCTCAACCACTGAGCCACACAGGCCAGTCTTCATCTATTACTACAGTACATGGCACCTTAGCTTATATCTGGATCTTTCAACCAGAGCTGAACCTGCCTCTCCTCTGCTTACAGACCCCCATGGTTCAGCCCCGGGCCTGGTATGATTGGCCCAGAAGTGAACACGGGACCCAGGCTGGCCAATCAGACTATTTTCCCTCCTGAGGATGTGGTGCTGAGCAATGCTGGGGGTCTGGTGGTATACATTGGACTGCTGCACTTGGCTTTGGCTGATGAAGGCATCAGAATCAACAGGAAGGACACTGAGGCAGCCCGGGGGGTCTGGGAGGGAGTGGTCAAGCCACAGATGGGAAGCAGTGCCTTCCAGGGACTTTCCTCCAGCGCTCGCATTCCTGTGTCCCTCCTGTCCAAACAGCCAGGCCCCGGGACTGTAATCTCCCTGGCGCAGCCCTAGCCACACGCTGACAGGTGTCCCTTCTCATCTGCTCCAAGGCCAAGATCAACCCTTAGCCAACAGCTAGCTCTCATTACACACATCCTGTGCCCCCATCACGGAGTCAACCCAACAGATTCCGGCTACTGGCCCTGTTTGCAGATAAGGAGCCGGGCCCAGAGCGGCCAGGCCCCTTTCCTGAAGCCACAGGGCCACCAAGACTCGAACGAAGCAGACAGGCAGACACAAGTCCTGAGAGATCGGGTGGCGCACAAAAGCACCGGCATCCAGGTTTCCAGGACCTGGGGCCTCGGGTGTGTAGTCTCGTCCTGCCTTCCCTAACATGTCTCTGTAGCCTTCCAGAACATTCCCTCTCATCCCAAGCTGGTGTGAGTGGGTCCTTTGCATCAAAAAGAATTCCAAAGCAGCCAAAACCGGTTTGGCTCAGTGGATAGAGCGTCAGCCTGCGGACTGAAGGGTCCCAGGTTCCGGTCAAGGGCATGTACCTTGGTTGCGGGCACATCCCCAGTGGGGGGTGTGCAGGAGGCAGCTGATCGGTGATTCTCTCTCATTGATGTTTCTAACTCTATCCCTCTCTCTTCCTCTCTGTAAAAAATCAATAAAATATATTAAGAAGAAGAAGAAGAAAAAAAAAAGAATTCCAAAGCAGTGGTATGCTCAAGCTGCTCATGGCGCTGGTAAAATTCAGGAATCCTGCCAGCCGGCTGCTCCATCAGATTGGGAGCATTTACACCAAGGGAACCGGCAGAGTGCTCACCTGGACTCTTCATCCCCCATCTACTCTGCTGGATGGAGAAGGCCGGGAGGAACCAGAGGCCCCGCGCTCCCGGCCTGGCCTTCCCGGAGGCCCCTTATCTGTTTCACAAACACCAGGCTGTACCGGAGCCAGATCGCCAGGCTGCTGAGTCACAGAACGAAAGTAACCGGACAGACCCGAGGTGGCGGCTCGCGCTCTCCCGCAGAACACAGCCAGGGTTGGTCAGCATTTATTTGGGGGCCAGGGCACCGCGGCGGAAAGTTCCAGGCATCCGCAGCCTGCCGGGGGTCCGGCTCTTCTTCGTCCGAGACGGAGCGGAGCGGGCCGCACTCGGTGTCAGTCGCCCATGGGCAGCCACAGGGCCTTGGTGCGCGCTGCCCGCAGCTCTAGCTCCGGGCCTGCGCCTCCGGCCTCCTGGTCCCAGGCCTGGGGGCAGCCCCCCTTCGCCCACACGGGCTTCAGGTTTCCCGCGGAGGCCCATTCCGCAAACTGGGAGCCCTGGCGCGGAGACAGGGGGTCAGCGCGGCCCCCCGCTTGTTGGATAAGCAGCTGTTTCCTTGGCAACGTGGATGCTGCCGAGGAGGGGCGCGCGGGCCGGACCCCGCGCTGCGGCTGCAGGCTCGGCTCCTGGCAAGCCAGCCTCGCAGCAGCCGGGAACGGGCTGGCCTCTGTGGCTAGGCAACTTCCTCCCCGCCCGCCCCCTCGTTCAAACGGGCCCGGGTTTGTGTTGATAAAGAGGATAAAGTGGGGGGGGGCGCTATGGCTTCTAACCCTGTTGCTAGGGGACGGTCTTTACAAATGGGCTGTCTTTGGGCCGGTGGGCGAGTTCTCAGGCCCTTGTTGCTAAGCACATCCTTTTCCTTAGCAACCAGGGCTCTAACGGGGAAGTCCCTCAGAACCTGGTTGCCAAGGTGTTTCTCCCCCTTAGCAACAGACGTTTTAAGGGGGCGGGGCCCTGTTCCCAGAAGGTGTAAGAGGGAGGGTACCTGGGCCGAGCCGAAGTACCACAGGGCCTGCACGTCCTGGTGCAGGGCCAGGCAGCGGGTCAGGTGGTCCCGGTCGCCGGTCACCACGTTCACCAGGCCGGCTGGCAACGAGGAGGCCATGTCCTAGGGGACGGAGAGAGTGGCCGCCTGGGGGCGGGGGGGAAGGATCCGAGACCCCGAAGGCAGTGGGGGCAGGGAGTGAGCGTCTGGGGGGTCGCATGGGGCCCCCGGAAGCAATGGGCCAGGGCACAGCTGGTGAAGGCTTATGGCCTGAAGGAGCGGAGGCTTGGATTCCTGGACAGGGGTTACCATGGTTACCAAGGGGTGAGGGTGGGAACCAAACTCCTGCAGGCCTTGGGGTGCCTTCTGTCTGTCTGGAGCCCCAGGGGCTGCTGGGAGCAGCAGCGGGCAGGCAGCTGTACCTGGCACACCTCCAAGGCGGGGATGGGGCAGGTCTCGCTGGGCACCACAACCACGGTGTTGCCGTGGGCCAAGGCAGGGGCCAGCAGGGACACGAAGGCAAGCAGGGGACACTCGTCCGGGCACACGATGGCCAGGACCCCCAGCGGCTCCCGAAGCCGAAGCACGGGGCCCCTCAGCTCAGCGACCTGCAGAGACAGGCGGAGGTCAGAGGTGGGGTGAGGGGTATCCGTCTACAGGACTCTCTCCCTCGCCGCCTCCATCACCTGCCCCTTTCTTTCTTCTTCACAGCCCCATCCTTGCTTCTTCACAACAACTCCAAGCATAATAGAACACGTGATGGTTCAGAGCCAGATGGCCTGGGTTCAAGGCCCAGCTCCACCACTCAGCTGTGTGACCTCAAGTGATTTTTTACAGAGAGGAAGGGAGAGGGATAGAGTTAGAAACATCGATGAGAGAGAAACATCGACCAGCTGCCTTCTACACACCCCCTACTGGGGATGTGCCCGCAACCAAGGTACATGGCCTTGACTGGAATCCAACCTGGGACCCTTGAGTCCGCAGGCCAAAGGGGAGGGGGGGTTTTCAAACTTGCAATCCAAGTACATGCCCTTGACTGAGAATGGAACCCTCGACCCTTTGGTGTGAAGGCTGATGCTCTAACCACTTAGAAATACAGGCCAGGGCTCTATGCTTTTTAAAAAATATATTCAGAGAGAAAAGGAGAGACAGAAAGATAAACGATAAGAGAGAATCATCGATCGGATGCCTCCTGCACGCCCCACACTGGGGATCAAGCCCACAACCTGGCATGCGCCCTGACCTGACTGGGACTTTGATCTCCTGGTTCACAGGTCAATGCGCAACCACTGAGCCACCCGGCCAGGGCTCCTTTTTAATCCGACTCCCTCACTCGGCATAGTCAGTCGGAGGGGCATTCATGCTGCAGTATGTTCATTTCCTCTGACTGCCAAGTGGGAGTCCATACTGCCAAGGAGGATTACCAAATATGAAAGGATGTATCATATTTTGTTTACCAACCTATTGAGGGATATCTGGGTTGTTTTTGTGAGTTTTTGGCTACTATGAATAATGCTGCAATAAACCTTTGTGTGTAAGTCATGGTGTGGATATATGCTTTCAGTTTTTCTAAAAACCTAGAAATTAGCCCTCACTGGTTGCTCAATGGTTAGAGCATCTTCCTGTGAGGCCAAGGTTTTGGGTTCAATCTCCAGTCAGGATACAAGTTACCAACCAATGAATGCATCAATAAATGCAACAACAAAGTGGTAGTCTCTCTCTCTCTTTCTCAAAAGTCCAAAGAACAAAAATTGGCCCAGGCCTGTGCGTCTCAGTTGGTTGGGTGTCACCCCATGCGGGCACTGACAGGTTGCTGGTTCGGTTCCTGGTCAGGGCATATGCCTGGCAGGGGGCGTGCAGGAGGCAGCCAATCGGTGTTTCGAACTCACATCCATGTTTCACTTCTCCCTCTCTCTCTAAAACATTTTTTTAAAACCTCGAAATTAAATTTATGCATGCAAATACCTAGGAAACATGGCTGGGTTGTATGTAAGAGAAGGAGATAGAGGAACACAGATTGGCTGCCTCCCAGACGTGGCCCAGCCGGGGACTGAACCTGCACCCTGACTGGAAATCAGACTGCCACCCTCTGGTTTACGGGAGGACTCGCCAACCAACTGAGCCACACTGGCCAGAGCTGAAAGCTTGGCCAGTTTCATAGTGATGAGAGAGAATGGGGGGGAGAAAAACATCAATTCGTTGTTCTACTTACTTATGCATTCACTGTTGCTTCATATATATATATTTAAAATATACTTTATTGATTTTTTTACAGAGAGGAAGAGAGAAAGATAGAGTCAGAAACATCGATCAGGTGCCTCCTGCACACCCTCTACTGGGGATGTGCATGCAACCAAGGTACATGCCCTTGACCGGAATCGAACCCGGGACCTTTCAGTCCGCAGGCCGACGCCCTATCCATTGAGCCAAATTGGTTTCGGCCACTGTTGCTTCTTCTATGCGCCCTATGGGGATGGCGCTCTAATTCCCCGAGCTACCGGCCAGGCTCCCGTTAGCACTGCACTAGCCACTGTCCTTCAGTGCCGAGCACCCTTCCATGTGCTCGTTTGCCACTCATGTCCTTTTGAAGTAACTGGCAACAGTCTCAGCTTTTATAATTGGTTTTATTGTTTTTGGTTTGTTTGTTTTAAAGAATTTTTGTTCGGGTCAGGGTGCATGTGGGAAGTGACTGATGTATGTTTCTCTCCCACATTGATGTTTCTCTCTCCCTCTTCTTTCCTCTCTCTAAACATTATGTCTTTATTGATTTTTCACAGAGAGAGGAAAGGAGAGGGAGAGAGAGAAATATTGATGAGAGAGAAGCATCACTGGTCAGCTGCCTCCTGCATGCCACCTATTGGGGGTCTGAGCCTGCTCCCTATGGAGAGAGGGAGAGAGAAACATCAATGATGAGAGAGAATCATGTGCCCTGACTGGGAATCAAACCAGTCATCTCTCTCTCTTTTTTTTTTTTTAAATATATTTTATTGATTTTTCACAGAGAGGAAGGGAGAGAGATAGAGAGTTAGAAACATCGATGAGAGAGAGTCATCGATCAGCTGCCTCTTGCACACCCCCTACTGGATATGTGCCCGCAACCAAGGTACATGCCCTTGACCGGAATCGAACCTGGGACCTTTCAGTCCCCAAGCCGACGCTCTATCCATTGAGCCAAATCGGTTTCAGCCCAGTCATCTCTTGGTTCATGGATCGATGCTCAGCCACTGAGCTACACCGGCTGGCTTCAATAAAAGCATGTTTTGTGTGTGTTTTTTTAATGGCTAATCTTTTTTTAAATATATACATATTTTTTTTTACTTCAGAGAGGAAGGAAGATGGAGAGAGGGAGAGAGAAACATCAATGATGAGAGAGAATCATCTATCGGCTGCCTCCTGCACATCCCCCACTGGAGATTGAGCCCACAACCTGGGTATGTGCCCTGACTAGGAATCAAACTGTGACCTCCTGGTTCATAGATCCATGTTCAACCACTGAGCCATGCTGGCCAGGTAAAATGGCTCAGTTTTTAAATAAAAGTTGATATCTAAAGTGTTGGCGAGGATGTAGAAAAACTGAAACGCATACTGCCGGTGGGACAGCGAAGTGGCAAACTTTGAAAACCTGTTTGGCAGTTTCTTGTGAAAGTCAGTGTGCAGTTATCACACCATCTCGCAGCCTGATTTCTAGGTATTTGCCCAAGAGCCATAAAAACATGCTGACACAGAGGCAAGTATGCAAACGACTTACTCAACAGCTCAAGGCTAGAGGTGCCTGGCTTCCTAATCACAGGTAAATGCCGGAACAAATGCGCTATGCACATAAGACACTGCTTCTCAGCAATAAAAAGGAACGTATTAATAGAGGCAGTAAGGATGCATCTTAAAAGCAATGAAAGAAACCAGACATAAAACACTACACCAAGCAGTCAAACTCGCGGCCCGCAACGAATATTTTTGCAGCCCAGCCAATATAACGGTACGTAAGCAACGTTTTCATAAAAATGTCATAACTTAATTTTTACAATATCCTGTTATACGTAATTATTAATAACGAACTATAACGTTCACTAATGACCGATGACTACAATCGTGTTGCTTTCATTTCCCCTCGCGCCTCGTATGCAGGCGCACCATTTCTCTCCACTAACACCAGCAGCAAATATTTTAGCGGCCGATGGCCATATCATTAGTCTTGGACTGATTTGTTTGGTGTGCACAACAGGAAATATTTCGCTTTCAGAGAACAAGAGAATTATGTTTATTTGCATGACACTTGTTCATTTGTGCAGTTCTTCAGAGTCTGGTACGTTAGTGTTCAAGAAAAAAATACTAATTTTTATTAAAATGTTCCATTATTTCATGTCAACGATGACTCATGTCAGCCCTTTGTATTCAGCCTGCCTATCGAAATAAACCTCCGTTTCTATGAAAAGTGCAGCTTTTGTTTTTTTGTGGCCACATACCCTTGTACATTGTCTGGCCCGCGTTAGCCTTTGAGTTTGACATGCTTGCGCTACACAGTGTGATGCGTTGTGCTCTTCTGGACAGAGAGCTCAGTGGTTGGCAAGCACTTGGAGTGGGGGAGGGGGACGAGGAGGGAGAAGCCCTTTGGGGTGATGAAAATCTGTCCTGATCGTGAGGACGCAACTGTATATTTTTGTCAAACTTCACCCAGAGGCAGGCCTGAGGGGGCCCAGTTTGCTGTATGCACTCTATACCTCAGCTAAAGCCAGACTTTAAAAACCGTCAGAGACTCCGAGCACAGACGGACCTGCGAGCATTATGCCAGTCAGAGAGACAAATACCACATGACTTCACTCCAATGGAATCCAGTGAGCACGCAAACTGGAGACAGACTCATGGCTAGGGCGCAGGCTGACAGCTGCCTGGGTGGGGGTGCTGGGTGAGAGGAAGGAGGGATTGAGAGACAAAAAAAGAAAGAAAGAAAGCACTCATGGACACGGCAACAGCGTGGCGAATGCTGGGGGAGGGGCCGTGTGCAGATGATGTGTAGCGGAACTGGGCATCTGAAACCTGTATCATTTTGTTAACCAATGCCACCCCAGTGAATTCAATAAAAGTTCAAAAATAAAAATAAAAACTGCCAAATAGAAAAGGAAA